ACATACTACTATATGACATGCATTCACCCTATTTCGTTTAAAAGGATGAAGGACTGGTATTCGAATTTTCTCACTTTGACGCTTAAATCGAATTTCACATAGCCTTACTTTCCCATGAAGGTGTTCTCACCCAGAAACGACTGCAGTTTCGACCTTGATTAGGTTTTATTTAACAGTCGAACCATGCTGAATTCAATGTAAGCGTCAGCTCTACTCGTATCATTGTGGGAAATTCGACTACCAGTCCTTTATCACCTTAAACAAAATAGGGTAAATACATATCATATACTTGAGCTACTGGTGTTCTCGAAACCCTTCTGACAAACGAAAAATATATATACTACTCCAAGCGAACAGTAGATTTGATCCCGAATCCGAGGGTACAGTTCTTTAATTCTTTAAAATGAACGTTTATGTTGGAGCTCAAATGTGGCTTAGCCCGTTTTGAGTCCCGCCAGATCTCAGCAAAAACCTCCTTTTCACAGTCATTGCGTCGGATGTAGTGTCTGTACATATGAAGCTCAAAATGCTGTTGTGGCCCTTTCGTTGGATGGAGAGATTTGACCTTTTCTCGCAATTTGATCCTGTCCAAAGGAAAAATGCGGTGTACATACTTCGCACCACCTTCCTGGCCTCTGTAGGCCTGCGTTGATCACAGCATGCAACAGACTCCGTGCACAAAAAACACACAACTAAAAAATGCGAAAAATAGAGCAAATCTCGGCAACCAACATTGTCACACCTCATCGCGGAGAACGCGTTTCCTATCTCCCTGTCATATATCCTGTGGTTAGAGGTATGACTCAAATTCGTTTGATGATTTGTAGTTGGCTTGTCCGAAAATGCCGTCTACGATGCGGAAAACGCGGTTCCGGTTACATTCTGCAAAGTCCTTCCATAGGAAACGGAGTAGCGCTGATGATGATGCCGGTTAGAAAGCAACCATTCCCCTGAAGATGAGGCCCTGTTTGAGTCTCTAAAATCTTGTGAAGACATTGAAAGGATCCCTTAAATATACCTATCACATCCCGTTATCTGGGTAGGCAACGATGGAGTACAATCCTCACGTCTGGACCATATGGGATCTCTATCGGAAGCACAAGAGTGTGATATACTACCAAGTTTGGCGCCAGTATTGAAATATTTCTGAGGAAATGGATGTAAAATTTAGTATAGAAGTGGGATGCAAGATTCCAACCGTGTTTCTACACTTTAGTCCTGAATTGCTGCCAGAAAACTCAAGATATCATGACTGAAGCCCTATCCTCCTACCGGTACAGAACGTCGCCGCGATTGTATGAATCTTCAACTGTTAAAAGGTTCATTTAGAAATCTGTGCAGAAGGCAGCCACATCATAAATACTGCCACGTTTTCATGCAAAAAAGTCAGCTAAGCAGTAATAATAACACGGGTATTAATAAATACTACTAAGAAAGCACTACTTTTAGAAAAGAAAGGAGAATTAAGAGGTGCAGCCTACAGGCTTTAAGCCAGTTTATTTCTCTCAGCTGAAAGAACACTGCTTAAGCAAGGAAAACATGATACCTAGAGCCTTGTTAACGACGACAATAAAGTCACTGTCTTCCTTATGCCACGGAATATAAGACTCGGCAGGGTGAATAGACACAGCCAACCTATTCGAAGAGAAGAGAAAAATAAAACTATGCCTTTAGATTCGCGCAAAAATGAAGTTTGAGGCTTGGTTTATACTTGGTTATACTTTATCCCGGCAAGGTTAGGATAATGGCAGACGAGGACAAAACTCTTCGACCGATGGTAGCAGATGGGCATGCATCATTTGCAGGGAGGTTAAGCCAGTCAGGCAGGTCAGAGCACAAATAATTGCATAAGGAACATTGCAGCCCGATGGGCAGAGTAAAGAAACAGACCTGCAGCTTGATTTGCAACGCCGCCGGATGATAACTTTGCAGGATGCATGAGCCGAAGTTTTCAAGCGCAGACTGGCTCTCCGAGGAGATGGCCAGTTCGGCTTGCTAAAATGAGAAATAGCGCGATAAAATAAGAGGGGAGAGATAGATAAAGGGAAGCTGGAAGGAGGCAGTAGAAGCAACCCGAAATGGTACAAAGAAGGAGGCAGAATTCTTGGATATTCATAAAAAACACTATAATTGACGGATGAATGAACAGTTTATGTCTTGGAAGTTTAGATGAGGCTAACGAGGGTCATCCCCACAAATCTCGGAAATTTAACAGAAAGAAACGACCCATGACCAGAAAAAAAATGCGTTGGGAAATAATTGTTGGCAACTGTAAATCTGAAAGCGGATGGACTACTGCAATACATCAAAATTGCAATTACAATTTCATACAAGGGTTTATTCTTTCAAGGTCAGGAGTTAACATAAAGTTTATCATTCTGTAGATACATCCGGCTACTCGTAATCAACTTATTTGGTCCCATACAAAATAATCAAACTAGGTGATGAATAGTCGAACCCAAAACTAACACTTAACTAGTCCAAAGTTTATGGCTATGTGAAATTTTTGCTGGATTTTTATGTTACTTTCATAAGAAAGAAAGCTTTTAGAGGGGGAAAAATGAGGGGTG